TGACTTCTTCATTGACAAGATCAGCATTGACATCGGTGTGAAGACTGCTGTATTTAATTGTCTTAATTTGGAACTGAATCCCATCAAAACCTTGTAGTTTAAGCTAAGCCACCTAGTCTCTTTGTTTGGTCAGGAGAGAGAGACAGACATCTTCTGAGGGCAATTTACTCTACCTACTTTAAACATCTAATTTAAACCATGAAATGAGAGCATAATACAGCCAAAATCTGTGCACGCGCTGCCATAGTCTGTAGAAGTCTATATAGTTAAAAACAAAACCTGTGATTGTTGTGTAGTTACTGTTATCAATTACAGGGCAAGACAAAATGTCCTTAATTAACTTAATAACCTGATAGGTATGTTTAGACATAGCTAATTAGAGCTTTCTTGTAATTTGGCCTATGATTAATAGACTGTGAAGACTGTTTCATTTGTTTTAAATGCATGGACAGTCACAAGGAAATTAAAATTTGAGCCTACATTGTATAACTGATAGAGGACCTCAGGATAGCACAATAGTGAAATATTATTCTCTTTATAAAGAATTAATGTATTAAGTTGCTAGTTTAGACCTGGTTTTTTTCAACATCTTTTGCAGCCTTATCAATATGTGCGTGAATCTCTCTCTCGGAAATATCCACAGATCAAGTTTTGCAAGTCTCTTTTAAAACAGTCTATCTTACATAGTTTAATAAAACTAGTGAATGTAAAAGCATATGAAGATACATTACAGAAGAAAGTAGAAATAACTGGTTTCATTTCTGGTTTGCACAGTGCAAGGTAAAATTCTTGGAGAAGTTAACTGCCAGTTTTTCTGGACCTTATATCACCTTTCTGCCTGTTCTTTCTCATTCTGGTCAGGGCAGAACCTAATTTGGGGCAATACAGTGGGGAAGCAGCAGAAATGAATGTATTCACCCTAGTGCTCAGGTCTGTAGTAATCATGCAAGTTCCCTTTCACTCCTTTTCTGTGCTGCAGTGTCTCTCGCAGGTGCATAGGGAATTAATAGCTATTGACATCTGAACAGGCTTCTTCACTTGTTACACAGCTGGAAGAGGGATATTGAGGGGAGTCCCACTGGTAGAAAAGACAAAAGAGTGAAAGGAAGACATAGTAGTGGAAAGAAGATAGGAGGAGGGAGATTATGGGTAGTTCATCTGGCAGCATGGAGACCCAATTCTCCATGACTTTTTGTTTGTTGTTATAAGGCATACTGTGCCAGAACACGTTATAAAGGTAGACAAATTTTTTTATTTTTCTTATTTGAATTAGGTGAAATTGGGAACAAGTAGAAAACACAGAAATTTGAGCCAGAAAGGCAAAAAGTATAGTTAATAATTTTAAGACACATAAATGTCTTGCATTTCTGCTTTTATGTATAGTTGAAACTTATCTGTTGAATTTTTCCTCAAGAAATGAATCTCAGTTTCAATGTTCTTGTGCCTTTTTTACTCTGCTGTTAATGCAGAGGCGGCTTCATTGAGAGTAGTTGGTCATTTTCCTTTTTCTTGTGAAGCGTTGCCTACTTAGCACACTGTGAGTCAGATCAGACTGCTGCTAACCAAAAAGGAATTTTATTTTTATAACTTGTTGTACACTTTAGTTTTTTCTTATTTAATACCTTCACTTTTGTCATCTTTTTTTGAACCACTTCAAATTTGTAAGAGTATATTTAGAGTACCATGTAGTATTTCCTGCTGTCTATTAAGATGTCATCTGAGAAACAGATGAGAGCATCAAATAAACTTTGGATAGTTTTAACAGAAGTTTAAGATAGTTTACCTTTTACTAGGGAATGGTGCGAAGATGAGAATATCCCTAATAGGCATTCCTAATCTGTAATGTCTTTTCATCTTCAGTGAAGTATATATTTTTACTGAAAAAGTGACCTGAGTGCTCACTAAGTACAGTTACTGCCTGTGTGAAGTTTTTTGCTTTTTTTTGTGGAGGGTTTTTTTTTCTGTTTTGTTTTGTTTCTCTTCCCCCCTACCCCTCCACCCCATGGCATAGCCAAGCAAACAAACACAGACAGATAACATATTTCCTTGCAATTGCCAATTTGCTGGGGATGACAAGAGTCTCAAAGGAAGCATGAGGTTGAAGAGCATGGGTTGGGGGCTGAGTGGATGGAGTTAGGTCCCTTGATGGACTGGGTGGCAGAATTTGGTAGGAGGCTAAAGGCAGTGAGCATCATGGAGTTGTGATCCTACTTCTGGGATCTCTGACAGTGTGTGTGGCAGGAGAATATGGAAGGAGATAACACCTCCTGCATGTGAATGTGGATTTACACAGAGCATATGTCTGAAGCTATTATCACGGCTATTGTTATCACTGGTTGGGGTGGAGGTGTTCTTTGCAAATTCTGCAGAGTTCAGGAACCCTGCTGTAGTAAGTTCTTCTACACCTTGCTTGGAGCAGCTTGAGAAGCAAATCTCTAAAAGCTTCTTCACTCCCCTTTTGCAACGGAATACTCATAGTGAAGAGCTATGTCTTCCTTAAATGGCAGGGTTCATAATCTCAGTCACCTTTGTGTTGACTTAAAGTTATATTTACTTTTAGTAACATCTCTGGAAGTGCTTGAGGCAAATCAGTTTGGGGCTTATTACACAAATAAGTAGTATTTTTTGGAACTGCATACTATTTTGATTTTATGAGGATTCCAGCAATACTATTTCTTTTTTGTTTTAGGTGTACAGGATTGGTACAACTCATTTGTTATTCCAGATAGATAAAAGTAGCTTATATCTATAGTTTTTTCAACTTTTCTAATTGCTGTCACAGACTAGAACTGATTGTGCTCTGGGGTGGCACAGATCTCTGTATCACTCAGGCCTTATTATCAATACGTTAACAGTAGATAAAAAAGTGGTCCTTTTGAATAGGAGCTAATTTCACATCACCTCGGAATAGCACTCTTTTTTTTTTGTACTTTGTGCAATTATGTTCTTTAGTCTTATTGCTCAGAACAAGGTAAAGAATCCTATAATCAGTTTTATTTTATTAGGTCTGTTTCTGTTAACTAAAGACCATTTCTTCCTGTGACAAGCAAGTCAGTGATGGCAACAATCAAGTAGCATTTGTCTTACATTGACATGTAGGCATTTTAAAATTTTTCATCTCTGTATTGTCTTTTTTAATGATACATTAATTTTGTAATGTATTATTAATAGATTGTCACCCATGCATGTCTTTAAAAAATTAATAGTATCAATGCATGTATCTCAGTGTTCATCATCTTGTTTTTATTAATCTAAGACAGAAAAATAATTTTCAAACCATGATTCAGAAAAATTATTTAATTTACAAGTTAGCTATTACAAATCGACACTTTTCCTTTGGTAATAGAATCCTCTGCAGTGGAATTCCTACTGCTATTGTGGTCCATTACAAGCACAAGATTACATCTTTTCACTTGTCACTGATTCTGCATTTTGACAGGGAAAAAAAGAAAGGTTTGCTGTTAGAATGTTGCCAAGCAACCAAAATATTAATTACTCCAATTTCTGGATTTTTCTTGTGTGATGTATATCAGAGGGTTTCTCCTACCTTGATGAGAGACAGTCTAGATGAAGTTACACTCCATAGCTTTACCATTTCTAAGATTAGTAAGTAGCTTAATTTCTCCCTGTGGAGTTTCATTTCAAAACCAAAGACACTTTTTTTTTTTGTTCCCTGAGGATAATTATCAAAAATCACGTCACAGATGATCATGTCTTCACAAGACATGAGATTGGGCATGTTTTCTCCTTTTTGTTTTCTGAAGTTAAATTTCTCTTTCTGAAATGGAAAGCTTATTTCTGTCTCTTGGAGTGGGCAAAGATAACTTGCTGCGTCTTAAAAATCCTGCATGCTGTTACTCATGTTTACTGTTATTTGGTATACTCCCTTTTAAGTATCTTCTTCCAGTACAACTAACTGATGGGAGTACCAAGTAACTACTTGTACTTGGTATTTAAAAAATTATTTATTAGATGAACTTGGGTGGAAAAGATGAAGTGGAGATAGACTTAAGTGTGTGGAAGTTATGGTAAGATTTATGCTTGGGGGTAGATGAAGAGAGAATAAATGCTTTTAATAACTTACCCAGTTTTTTGTCCTGATTTTGTTGTACATTCCTGTAATTTTTTACTTCCGTGGAGCTTTTTCGTTTTGCAGTGGCAGCCACAGATTTCCTATGGAATTATGTGGATTTCAGGGTCACTTCCCACATTAGTCATTGATTTCCTCTCGGGGCACGTGCCCAGCACAGAGCCACAACTTCTTTCTGGATTCCTAATCTGTGTTTTATATGTAGGGAGCCAGGAAAAACCTCAGCAGCAATATGGAGAGTGCTTCTCGTTCTGCAGCCCTGCAAGGCCAGGGTGTATAACAGCAATTGTACTATCAATGCATGGCATAGGAGATGGTTTCCTGTTGACATTGGGTTTGTATCTATGTCTGCAACAGTGTAATAAAATATTTGCTTATGTCTGTACAATAATATTTTGGAGGACTTGCTTTAAGAAATGTCTGCCTGTTTGATCAGACCTTGGAGTTCCCAGGTACGAATGCATATTCTAACCAGATCATTGTTCCATGTCTGGGTGAGATCAAAAATGCACCAACCTTCATGATACACCAATTTCCAATTAGAAGAAACCTGGATATATGGGTCGGAGAAGAGCTACTCACTGCTCTGAAAAGGTGCTTGTTCTGAATGGTTAAATGAACAGTATTCAGATTGTTTTGGGTAAATTTGAGCAGGTAGCGGGGGTTGGGTTGTGTAACATAAATTCCAGTGGACAAGTAACTGTATAGGCTAAGAGAACTTCAGATGTGAACACTTCATAGGGTGAAGCTAGCAGTAGTTTGAGGAGACGGGTGTTTCTAGCTGTTTTATTCAAAGTTGAAAACAGGCTTTTCCTTTATAAATGCTCCTTTACTTTTAGTAAATACAAGATTAGTTTAAGTGCAATATCGCACTAACTTTTTGTTTTGTTTTAATTTTCTAAAGGAGTTGATGACCAAGCTGATAACAGAGACACCTGACCAGCCAATCCCATTTCTAATTGATCATCTCCAGTCCAAACAGGGGAACCGCAGTCAGCTTCAGAGAACGTTGTCTGGCTCTGCTGCGCTTTGGGCAGAGAGTGAAACATCAGGTATGTTCTGTATGCTGGAAAGGGTTAGTCTCCAGTATAATCTTCCCACATGTTCGTCCATGATTTCCTGGATGCACGTGTACCTATTGAACAGGTACTACTCTGTGGTTTTGAGCATGCACAATAAATCCTGTTTGTCCAGTATATACTGAATTTAATAGATATTGTTGTCTATCAGCTCAGCCTATTTACGTATTATGTGAGTATGGGTCAGAGTTACAGGGTGGAAACAAAACCCAATCTCAATGAGAAAGAAGGTGCATATAAAGGTCCCTTGATTCACCTGCTGTTCTCTTTGCTTTCCCTTTCTCTTTGCTTTTCTTTTTCCCTCCCGTGGTGTATTTGTGCTTGAGATTAGTCTCTACTGAGGTATTTTCTTTAATCATACACATTTTTAACAACCTATCATTCCAACACTTAACGAGAAGATGCTATTACTACTTTATGAACTCCAGTGTGAATAATTTATGATTGTAGATCTTCAGAAGCATAAATAAAATTTCTGAAACCGTATCTGCTCTGATTCTAAAGTAGAAATTTTAGCTTTGATATTCTGGTACAAGCTACTATTAGAATGTTGGTTTTGTATTTAAAAATTGACTGATGATCTGTTTCAGACTATAATAGATCTCAAATAGTTGCTGATAGTCAAAATGTTAGTTGCCTGACAAATCAACTTTTTATTTATATCAAATGTAAAGTTTTAAGCATAGGCTGTCAAACGTGTAAGCGAATAAAAGGAGGTTAAGGACTTTTTCATAACAGAAAATAAGACGTTATGTTTTTAATGAAAAACATATTAATGAATTTCTAAATTTTGATGTTTAGGAGACGGAAGAAATATATGAAGTTTAGCATAAATCAGAAATAGGAGAACAAAAAGAGCTGACTTTGGTTTGAACTGATAGGTCTTGTTTTTTCTGGATTAATTGTTTATTAAGTCTTTGAAAAATGACCTACAAATGTTATAATTGCCTGATTTGATTCTTTTAACAGAAAATAAGGAGAAAACAAGGAGAGATTTTAGAAGTTACGATAAACCTTGGCAGGTAAATGCAAAAAAGCCTAAAAAGTCAAAGAGCGACCTTGCCGTGTCCAACATTTCTCCACCATCACCGGAGTCCAAGTCATGTAAGAAAGCTTCACTACATCATTAATTTGTGCATACTTCCAAACCCATAGTATGTTTTTCTGTTGAATTAGGATTAAAATGGAAAGCAAACTATGAGCAATTGAAATGGCTAGATATATATATTAGAAGAGTTTGATTCTTGCTTTACTTTCACTTGAATTATGAATATTTAATGCCCTATGTTGTCATCTATAGATAGGATTCTAGACAGATAGATAAAAAACCAGAAGAATATCTGGGTGTCATGCACAATTTTGTGTTCAGATACTGATTATGATTTGATGTTTTAGTTTGCATTGCCGTTTTGCATGTGTAAAATCTCTTATGTTTATATTGGTTCTAGTAACAGATTTTTTTCAGTGGAGGCAATGCAGAACTATGAATTATGAACAGATACTGTTCATGATATGGGGGCAGTGTCAGCAGAACAGGTGTACTGCTCTGAGAGTTGCTGAAGGAATCTAAATGTACACTGAAAGAAAAGGCAGAATAGAAATTGAGTGACTGAAGAGAATATTGTCAATGACCGATAAAATAGATGTAGTAAAAACACAGGCAGCAAGGCTTAATGAAATACAGTGCTTCCTATGTACTGGCTATTGAAGAAATTTAATTTTTAAGCTTGATTTTTAATGGATTTTTTACACAAATAAATGTATCTACAATATACATACAAATATATGTATAGGTACACACACACAGAGAAGTGTGTATACAAGATTTATTCTCCAAAATAAATTGCAAAATTATATTTTCTTCTGTTGACTATTGTAGCTCTTTGAAATTTTTATAATAGCCAAATTTTTTTAATAATCTGGAGTATGATTAGGTGGACCAGATGAGAACAGAGATATATAGTATGCTGCAATAGAAGGCTTGCTGTCTTTTCTCTAAAAGCAAGATGGGGAAGTCTAGACTTCAGTGGAGTCAAAAGAAAAATCTCCTAGTGACCTCAGGTCAAAATATAGCACAGCAATGGTTAAAGTAAATCATGATAGATTTATGCAATAGAGACACTGTGCTTTTGCATAACTAACAGTCTTGTATGGTTATAAAACCTTTTTGATTAAGAATAAATAACTGTAACAAGTGAAAAATAGCTGTACAGGTAGCTGTGTCCCACAGCACAGCTTTTCTCAGGACTGTATTGTCCTAGCAAGATTTATGGATTATTTTTTCTGGAAATGGAGCATGTGTCTCTGTTTCTTCTTCATGAAACACATTCCCTGCTTCAAAAAGACTCAAATTTGATCATCAGTTCCACTGTGCCTCTCTATGGGCACATGCATTTTTAAGTCAGTCCAAAAATAGCATGTGGATTTTCATTCACTTTCAAGAGTAAATAGGGATATTCAGAGAAGTGGTCATAGTCACTCATAATCTGAGTCTAATCTAATGGTCTTTGCTGGATAACAGCAATTTATGGAGATACACTTTTAGAAACAGTGGCCAAGGGTGTTGTGAGCTGTTCCTATCATCATACTGTGTTCTTCTCCTCCCTCTCAGTGCTTGCACTTCAGATTCTGTGTTACGCATCATGTAACTTCCATGCCATCTCCTAAAGATCTTAAGTTCTCAGTCTTTAGCCCAGGTAGGGTTGTGACATCATGTCAATCCCTTCATTTGTGTGCCTACTACAAGTTTCATGCTTGTTGGTCCTTAGGTTGTCCCAGGAGAGGGACAAAGAGGAGGCTGGGCACTCTATAAACTACCAGGTTACATGTCAAGCAAGGAAATAATTTATACATCCATAATAAGACTGGACTCAAGGATCTGTCCTTGTAGACTGAAGGGCATCTAATAATGCTCTTCAATTGGTAAGGCTTGCTTTCAAGCTACCCACGTCCTTAAGTCTACCAGCAGAGTTACATGGCACTATATGGGATTCATTCTAAGCATGCTGAGAGGGGAGACTAATGTCATTGCAAAGCCATTCTATCATCACTGAAAGGTCATGATGATTGTGGGAAGTTCCTGATAACTAGAAAAAGGCAAACATCACATACATTTTGAGGAAGAGCAAGAGGATGACTTTGGGGACTACAAGCTGGTAAGCCTAACCTCACTCTCTGGGAAGGTTATTGAGCAAATTTTCCTGGAAGCTGTTCCCAGCCACAAGAAGGAGGAAAATGTGATTGGGAACAGCAAGCATGGATATATGAGTTCATACATGCCTGATCAGATCAACCTGATTGCCCCCTTAGATGAAATAACTGGCCCTGTAATCAAAGAAAAAGCAGTGGATGTTTAATACCTTGACTTTAGCAAAACCTTTGTCAGTCTCCCATAGTATCCTTATAAAACTCAATTGGTGAGATATGGACTAGATAAGTGGACAACAAAATGTGTGGAAAGTTGGTTCAACTGTTGGGTTCAAGGGGTTGTGACTGGCAATGCAAAGTCCAGTTGGAAAGCCTATCACTAGTGTCGTGCTTAAGGGACTGGTACTGAGACCAATACCATTTAGAAGTCTTTCTTAATGTCTTGAATGATGAGGTAGAATGTTCTCTTAGCAGGTTTGCAGGTGAGACCAAATTGTGGGAAGTAGTTGGTATTCTGGGTAGCAGGACTGCTGTTCAGAGGAATCTCAACAGGATTGAGGAATGGACTGAAAGGAACCTCATGAAGTTCAACACAAGCAAATACAAAATCCTGCATCTTGGATGGAATAACCCTGAGCAATAGTATAAACTGGGGTCTGAATGGCTAGAAAGTAGCTCTGCAGAAAAAGACCTGGGGTGCTGATGGACAAGAACTTGAATATGAACTAGCTGTGGCTGTGTGCTCTTGTAGCGCTGAAGGTGAGCTGCATACTAGGCTGCATTAGCAACAGTATAGCCAGCAGAGTTTATTTTGCACTATTGGGATGGCATCTGCAGTACATCATGATAGGCAATGGTGTCTAGCAAGTCCAGTGGAGGTCCACCAAGATGATGAGAGGGCTAGAGCACATGATGGACAAGGAAAAGCTGAAGGAAACTGGTTTGTTCATCCTGAAGAAATGAAAGCTAAGGGGAGATTTCATTGTCACCATCAGCTATTACACTGGAGGGTGGTAGAGAAGACATAGCCAGATTCTTCTTGAAGGTGTGTAGTGAAGGGACAAGAGGCAACAAAAATTATACTGTGAGGGTGGTCAAACACTGGAGCAGGTTGTCCAGAGAGACCGTGGAATCTCCATGTTGGGAGATACTCAAAACTCAACTGGATAGTCTGAGCAACCTGCCCTCAATGGACCACTTTTGAACAGTAGGTTGGACTAGAAGACTTTCAGAGGTCCTTTCCAGCCTAATTATCCTCTGATTCCATGCTTTTCTATTTACGCCCTTTTCTATTTTTTTGTCCTTACCACTGTTTTAAACCTTGATTCCTCCTATTATTTTCGTGACTTACTCACCCCTGCAAATATTTGTCTCTGCAACTTTTTGAAAATACCTTGTCTATTTGAACTACATTTTTTTTAGTTGCTATCAGAGGCTGGTTTCAGCCATGTGCCTTTTTGTCATAACTTGCTGCTTCTCTTATTTTCTGCCAACAACCAAATTAATACTGACTCTTCTGACTTTTTTGTGCTGGGTTTATGCCAAAATCGGGGGTACCGTATGCCTCTTCGAACACTCAGATCAGCAGAAAGAAAGCATGTACAGAAGCCATTTATTACGCTGTCCAGACGTGCACAGCATATTCCATTTGTTTTGTGCCTTCAGCATGTACCTCAAACATTTTTGGGTGCCACTGTACATTTTTTTCCAAAGCTTCTCCAAAGAGGTAGTAAGGACTCATCTGAGAAACAGAATGTTTTGGGCCTGCTGAGACCTAAAGATTTACTCTCAGATTTGTGTTTAAAACAAACAAAAAAACTGCACACCCAACAACATATAAAGCCCCCCAAAACTGCCAAAACAAACCCAAAATTTAGTGGAGTCCATCAGCTGTAATGTGTTCTGTTGCAGAGCTTTCATCTTATGACTCTCTTATTCAAATGATCCTGAACTTGTAAGTTTATTCAGAACTGAGAATTGTCATTTCATAGGAATCTTTGGAAATATCAGGAGAATCGATTTATTTAATTAGGAAATATTTTTTTCCTTCAGCAGAGCTGATGTTGACTGTACTGTGCATGTTATTCCTGCACAAATATCTCTTCCTTATGCATTCAACTTCTTTACTGGAAAAATTCCTCCAGTCTCTCCTCCTGCCTGTTACAATCTCAGCTGCACCTGAAACAAACATACAAACAAGAAACTGTGGTATCTAAGGGATCTGACCACTTGTGTGGTGTGTGCAAAGACATAATTAAGCAGAAGCTGCTGCTGTTGTCTGGCAAGGAAGAGGCTTGAAGCTGGGGCTCCTAGTGTGCGTGTGTGTTTGTGTATATATAAATATATTTAATGAAATGTTCAGATGATCACATTCTGTATTTGAAGAAGAACAAATTTGGAAGTTTCTAAATGGTTTGTGAAACAGACTTCTTGCTTCCCAGCTAGCTACTTTTAGGGAAAGTAGGTTGATTCTCTTCATCGCCTCCATATTAAATCAGATCACAGATCATCCTTTCACTCTGCTTCAGTTCACCCTTCTCACCATATCCCATTTACAATTACAGTGTTGTAATTGTACTTCTAATTGCCCTTGGTCAGTCTAGGATTGTAGGCCATCATCCTCTTAGCCTTTTAATATCCAGGTACTGTGTAAACCAGTTTGGCTGTATTACCAAAGAACTCTAATCTGAATGCTGTTGTGAGATTTAAATACATGAGTAATTTTATGCTCAATAATAACACATATTTTTGTTCTTTGAGGTGTAAGATGGCCATACAATGTATTAATGAAATGTAGGATTTAATGAGCAACTGGTGTGATTCTGTCTGCAACTTGAAAAGACACATATATATAGATAAAACCAATACTGGTCTTGTACCGTCATCCAGTAGAAAATAAAGGTCTGCTGATTTGTGACAGAATTCATAACACATCTGCGAATGAATCTGATGTGCATTTGTCGGGGGGGTGCGCCACCAGAAAATCAGAAAGACTAGAAAGCATATCTTTGCCGTCTTCTAAGATGAGATGGGGAAATTTCAGCTCCATAAAGGGAAAACCGAAATATTTCTATACAAATGCTATGATGTAGATGTAATAAATCTTCTGAATTGTAGGCAAATAATTTCAAGAGAAAGTGTTACATAAATCTCTCAAATAACAGAGATGAGGCTGAGGCAGGTAATGTGGTGAGGGATTTAAAATTACTGATATGATGATTTTGAGGAATGAGTGAGTATAATAAAGAAAGAGGAAGGTCAGAATACTATGAAAGGATTTTACTAAGTGTGTAGTGACATATGCATGGAAATTATATATGATGGACTTCATACATACAGAAGAAGAACATGTATTTCAAAAGATCGCAAGGAAGGGTCGTATGGTCTTTAATACAGTTCTGCATACTTCACACAAAGCCATCCATTTGAAAATGACCAGTGCTTGTTGATCCTATAGTTGGGAAGATACAAGTTTATATTTTAAAAACATTTGTAAGCAAGCAGAAAATGAACCTTGAAAGGAGAGACACATGCCACATGATGTATTGAAGTAGATTTTAGTTTTAGTACGCATTCATTAGTTGGAAGAGTAGGTAAGTAAGAAGAACTATGTCTTCTCTAGAAGTAATAAAAATTTCAGTTCTAATTCTGCTTAACTTCCCCCTCAGTTTTGGTTCGATAGAATGAACCAAACTCATTGTTGAAACAAATTCTTTTGAAACCTAGAAGTGTTCCATGACAGCATATCTGTTTTGATACATTTTCACTGAAGTACAGAATGGTTCACTGAAACATAGACTGTAGTACACCAGCATGCAGAGCAAATTTCCACCATGTTTTTTACTGGTTTTCCACCATCCATCTAGTGAGATGCAGTCCAACCTTCCTGTGTTTGTGGGACATATCTCCGAAACTAGGGACCAGACCATTGTCTCTTGAGCAAGTTTCCCTACTTTCCAAGGATAGAGTCTTGATACTCTCATTTTCCTGATGCAGGTTGGTCCATATACTCAGCAGTTGCTGATCCTGGTGAAACTTCACAGTTGTTGAGTAGAACTTAGGTTTTTTTCATTCAGCTTCTGTCCCATGACAAATTTTATTTCAAAATGATACAGTTTCTCAAAAATTCTGTCCTTTGATATTTTGAAAAACGTGGTTTGTTTCAAATTGACATGATACGAAATTCCAGCTTGTTGAAATTTTCTGCAACCTGGAAGCTCTAAGGTTTGGTTATCTTTGTACGTGGTTTTACTACACGAAATTATTGCCTGTTTGTATTTTGGTGGTACTGTGAGATTTCTGTGGTGTGGTGAGTTCAGTATAAACTGAACTGGAAAGAAAAGTCTGTCAAACTGCTAGTAGGCTAGAGTGAGTGATGCTGTAGAATATAGTGTTGGTACACTGAAGGGAGAAAATGAGATGGCTGAAAAAGCAGGCAGTAAAGGAGCATGTGATCTCAATGTAAAACAAAGGTGAGTGAAAACAGAGAGACCTCATTATAGAATTTCTTTTCTAGTTTACTAAATATTTATATTTACAGTTAGTAAAAGTTTAGAAAAAATACTAGATGGAACATTTTGTTTTCTGTAAATAAGAAAAAGGATGAGAAATACTGAAGTTGTGCTATTTAATTTAATTAAGCTACGGTCTATAAATGGAGGCAATTTTTGGTCACACAAAAATTTAGATAACTTTTAACTAACATAGTGGTTCCTAAACCAGGGAATTATAAATTAAATGATTGGCATTTAAAAGTATGAACAAAAATTACAAGCTGTCCATCTAGGTAGAGGCTAGTTATACCCTCATATCTTAAGGCCTGTATTTATTCACTAGGAACCACCATAGCTCATTATTTACATTGTCCTCAGAAGGAAATACATGACTGGTCTATTTTGAACACAAAGCAGAACCGGACTCTGACAGTCCAACTTGTCCCTCTCTTCCCTTCTCCTTACTGAAGCTTCCTGTGTCTCTTTCCTCCTACTCTTTTCTCTGTAGGTACTTTTTAATGTCTCCTTTGTCTTCTGTCTTTGAGAATGTCTGTAATTGCAGTCTAATGTATTAACTTCCCTAATACTTACCCGGGTTCCTGAGTGGGTGTTACAGATCAGAATATAGTCTGGATTGTTAGACTCTGTACAGATGTCCAGTTTGAAGATGGCTTGGTTTATGTCTACACGAGATGGAATCACGTTCTTTGTGACAGAAGGACTTAAACGTACAGTTGTCCCATTTATTTACCTGGAAAAGATGGCTATTGACTTAACTTCAACTTTCCCTTGTGGCGTTGATCCAAAGTGGAGCAGATTCTATGTTCACACAGAAGGCAGTCAGCAATAAGGCAAATTTCAATAGCAACAGTTATTTAACACATTTTGTAATAGCTACCAGAACTCGAAGTCTGAGCACAATTTCCCCATACCATCATAAAAAGCACTCTGAAATTCCAAATGATCATAAGATACCACTTTTTTTGCACGATTTGCAAGTTTCCTTCTTAGCATGTAATGAAAATGAAGTTTGTAAGCAAAAATTAGTTGACAGCTGTCAAAATAGTAAATAAAAATTTCAAAGCTGGCCAAGATGTATTGGACATTATAGGCTTTGTTTCTGAAGTTATTTTTAAGTGAGTAGTTAGCAACCATTGATAAATGTAACTGGTCCTTTCTGTTGGGAATGTGGACTAGGCATCATCATCTTCATACCAGCACGTGCAATTCTCAGCATGGTAATGCTATGTTTGGAGACAACCCAACAATTGCATTTGGTGGCGAAGGCAGCAGGTCGCTTAGTTCAGAACACTGGCAAAAAGAACATGTTAAACTGCAGTTCCAGGGAAAGCATCGTTTTTGTTTTCATTTCTACAAATTGTTCAAAATGTTCACACTGCTCAATACAGCTTTGTCATTGTGGGTCCTACATAACTCAGAAACTCTTTCTCTTCTTCCCTGCCATTGTAGGTAAAGTTAGCTCAGCAGTTGGGAAACTGTTATTTTAAAATTAAATCAAAGGTTTTGGTAATAGATAATGAGTAGGAGACTGTATGCTCAGGACTGTCCTTCCCTAAGATCGAGTTTGTTTAAGTATCGGAGTAAAGATTATAGGCTGTACAGAATGAACAATAGGGACATATTTTGTTTCACTGTTTTTATGAACTGTTATCTACACTTTATAATTAAAAAAAAAAAAGTGCATATACAAGTTGTTTTAAAAGTTTTACCTAAAATATTTCTTTTTTCTTTTTGATAAAATGACTAACAAAGCCAAAAGTACGTTACTCATTTTCATGTTGACATTTTTCCTTATTGACCCTAGAACACATAATGCTATTTTTATGTAAATCAAGTACCTTCATATGCAATATTTTTATTACATTTTTCTGTTATTGCATTATTTTTATTATTTTAATTGTTAATATTAAATATTCGTGTTTACCAATTAATTCAGTCACAAGAATTATCCCAAGTATGCATTTGTTCATAGATGTTTTCATTTTTACTTCACATTGACCAAAGAAATTTCCAGCTGTTAAAATAAGAGGATAGTTAAGTAATTTCCACTCAAGGTACTTCAGCTTGTAAACTCATTGTGCAGCTTTTTTTCTATTGTAGGAGTCTGAACTACCAAATCTAAACTTCATCTATATATCTGTGTACATTTAGTGCCAAGGTCAATAGAGCATCCTAAATGGGATTGGAGGACAAAACCGGAGAACCATGATTTTGATGAACTAAATCATATTCTTCAAGAGAGCAAAAAACTTGGAAAAGCCCTTGAGAATCTGTCTCGCAGTAAGTTGATTGATTTTAGTTTTTTAATGTAACCATGCAGCCTGAATTGTAATTTGGAAGTATATATCAAGAAGGTGGTCTTCTGTTCAATGAAGTCCAAGTTCACTGACATCAGCAGTTACATTCCTGTTGATGAGGTTTACGGAATGTCTGAGATAATTTAGCAGCTCTCCTGCTGACTGAAACTACTTCCCCTGCACCTCCGTTTTTGTTATATTAGTTTTCTGCCAGTTTAGTGAGCTGAATTAGCTCATAACGAGATCAACACAAGAGGGTGGTTTAAGGAAAATGGTGGGAACATGCAGCAGTGAGACTGCTCCCTTGGGTCGTAGCAGTTAGGTTGGATTAACCTTTGTGAAACCTTAACCTCATTGATGGAGATCAGACCTGTCATTGAAAAACAATTAGGTATTTTGTATCCTTGACCCCACTTAATTCCTTCCAGTTTTCAAAAGCAATTAAAGTAAATATTTTAAAACATCTCAAATAAATACTCAAAAACATGGTAGCCAATTATTTCATAAAAAACCTCAAGTATTATCCCTTAAAAGACATAGTCAAATAGGAGCAGTGTTTAAAAATAGCATGCTCACGTAAGGAGTAGCTCTGAGAATTACTGGATATGATGAGGAATAGCTTTTTTTTTTTTTTTCCCTTTCCTGTAGAAGAGAATTCTGAAGTACATTGGTGGGAGCAAACACTGCTAACAGTTATCAAAGTATGAAAAGTACTCTCTGCCATGGTACATGAAAACCAAGTATGGCATGATCTGGGAGACATTTGAATGAGAAATATTTTCTTTCTCCTCTCATTAAATTTTATCCATGGCCCTTCTTGATTCACTGGAGAAATTGCAGATGGTGAAGTCAGAAACAGAGCTGAATGAAGAATAGAAGATCTGTTTTGTGGAGAATTTTGAGATTCAGCATTTTTCCAAATTGTGTCAAATACCCAAAACTAGTTTGCCCAAATTCCCTCTCTCCCAAATGTTTTAGGTTGATCACAACAATTATATTCTGAGCAATTTTCATATTTATATTAGTTATAGTAGTATAGTTACAGGGCTCTTTTCAAATACATTTCTAGTAAATTGGTCTGTCTGCCTTTAAGGAGGAGCTAAACCACCTCCAATGAGGGGCTCTGATTTGCAGCCCCACCATTGCCTGACCGTTAATGTGATGGGTGCAAGTGTCATTTTCAAGCCTTTCTCCTTTAGAGACTTGTAACCAAGCTTAACACAGATACAGAAATTTTTCAATTCTTTTTCAATTTTTCAATTTTTTTTTCAATTTCAGAAGGGGTTATTTATTCACTGTCTGGAGATACAAACCAATCAGATGTGAGAGTTCAATAATAAAGGACTAAATCCACTCGTCAGTCCTACCTCTTTGTCTTTCCTTGTAAATATTGTGTAGGTTCCACTGAGCTCTGGCTTCCTTGTACTTAAAATACAGTTTGCAGCATTCTGTATCTCTCTTTGCCACAGAGGTTTCTAACTGCAGTGCAAAACACTGCAGCTCTTCTGGGTCCTACACTTAGATGGAGGTGAAGGTACCTGGTCAGTGTTGCTGGAGTCAGGTTTTCATAGAGTTATTTCACAAATGAAACATTCTTCATTATTTCTTGCTAGTACTTGACATTTTCTGATGATTTACCAAGATAATGTGGAATTTAATCCTATCCCTCAGAGTGCTTTAAATCACTTGCAGCCTGATACTAAGTTCACTTTCATGAATGTGCTCTCTATTTCTTCATCCAGATCATTAACGGAAATATTGTCAGACTTCTTCATGATTCCATTTCAGATCTGACAACAGCCCTTGAAAGCTACTCAGTAAGTGCGTTTTTTCCCACCAGATGTTTATCTACCTTGCAGTGATTCACCTAGAATGTAATTCTCTAATTTGTTTACTGGAGTATCATCCAGGACAGTAAACAAAGTCTTATTATAGCTGAAGTATTTTACATCTACTTCCTCCTCTTATCCACTAAGCAAGTTTCCCAGTTGAGAAAGCAATTAGAGTGATTTGATGTGATTCATTCTTGATAAATTCATGTCGGCTGGTTCTTATCACCTTTCCTGTCCATTAGATATTGATAATTGTTTATTTAACAATTTTGTCAAATATTCTTGCTGCTGTCAGATTTAGGCTTGCTGGTTAGTAGTTCCCCACGTCTTCCCTTTTTCTTTTCTGAAGAAAGATACGGAATTTGCCCTTTTCTGTCCTTTCCATTCCTGAAAGACAGTTGCTAATGGATTAGAGGTTTCTTCAGCTAGTTAGTTAAGTGCTCTAGAGTGAATTTCACAAGATTCTGCCAACTTGAATGTATCTAAGTCATCAGAATATCTTTCAGCTTTCCATCATCTGACTTGCAGTTTTTCCTCTTAAAATCACTAGAGTTAAGTATCTGGCCACAATTAATTTTTTTTTAAAGACTGAAGCAGTGAAAGTATTGAACACTGGGATTTCTTTCTATCATCTGTTATTTGCTTTCCTTCTCTTTGATGTTACAGTTCTGTATTTTACTTTGTCCTCCTTTCCTAGTGTATTTATAGTATCTTTTCTTGTGGCTTTTTTTGTTCTTTGATAGTTTTCACTCATTTTACACTTTAGCCTTTTTGGTTGTATCATTTAAACTTGCATCAGATTAATCCTGAACTGTATGTCCTTGTTTCCAGTTTTTGTGCTCCTGATTTTCAGATCATTCCAGGAAATAGATCTGTTCTGTGCTGTGATTTCTTACATGTTAGGATGATACAAAAATTCAAAATGAAAAATGTGAAAAGTTTGAAAAAAACCAAAAGGTATAATTTTGAAAATAAATGTGCTTTTATTGTTCTCCCAAAGGTAGAATACAGATTGCACATAGCACGTATCTTGGAGGGTTTCAATGAATAGACATGTCTAGAACTTTAAAAGTGTAAGACACATGAAACTCATTCTGTACTGTACCCAAACAAGCATCCTATGTGGTGAATTTTACTAAAGCCATGACAAGGTCCCGTAGCTACTTCTCCGGTGTTAATGCTTGCTTTGGGTAGGCTAGTCACTGCTTTTGATTCTACAAGCACAACCGTAAAGTCTATGAGTCTAATGCTACATTTGATACTAATCTTGTTTCGAAGTAGTATGGGACAGGCACTGGGCTCAACAAATAGTTGAGTACGCAAATGATGACAATGTACCAACGTATCAATGGCTTTATACAGCACCCTTGCATTTCATTCTTCAGTATTTTAACAGGGAAGAGTGCCACATAAAACCAGATGTTTGAATTTAAATGAATTTTCCATCAAGTCCTGGAATTCATTTCCATTTTTAAAGATAAGCTTTGGATCTTGTAGTGAGTTTCCAGGACTTCATTGCCTGCTATGCAGCTGACACAGCCTGTGAATTAAACTCTAGTTTCTATTGCTTCATTCACTATGCAGTCTAGATGTCTGCTTTGAGACAAACCTGTGCACTTCACAGAAAATTAAAACTGCCTGAAAGCTTTGGAAGGTGAGGCTCAGGCACTTGGATGTCGGGTCTTTCCTATGTTCAGTCCTCCTAGTGATTAAAACTGAACTTCCTTATATTTGGAGCCCTCCTCCCAAGCTCCATCAAGACAATGCATGAATAATTCTGTGCTGCAGTAGGTCTGTGAAACCAAAAGTAACTTCGCACTCAATGTTAGAGGTATCTTATAAGCTTTGAGAGTCTGGAGAAGAGTATTGCCATAATTATGGTCTAAGTTTGTTGGAGCTTGGTGATTTAAGTATACTATTTTCCGGAGGCCTAGTCATGTGGGAAACTTGGGTTTCGTTTGCTTCTTCAATTAGCTGTGTGTCATTGAAGCGGATTTTGAACTATCAAGTCAACTACTTAGGGGAGATTTTGGTTTATGAATCAACTTACAGGAATATACTGCATTTCCCTTGTGCATGTTTCGTTTTCTTTGATTGCAAGGTCTCTCATCTTTATTCCTTCTTCCTCAGCTGATCATAAGTAAGAAAAGTTCCATGCTGTTTCAAATATATACTCTTGTATTTCCCCTTCTGGCCTGTTTGCCTTTTAAAGAGAGTTAAAATCTCCTGTATAGCTAAGGATCTTGCTCATGAATATACCTGTCTTCACTCCCCATCTTCTGAGGACAGAAAAATAGATAACAAGAGATGGAGAACAATTACTTTAATGGAAAACAACAGACTGCATTTAGCAGTCTCTGAAACACATTAGAATGGGGTTTCATTTAGAAGCATCTACACTATAGGGAACTATTAATGATTTACATTCTGGGTGTGGAAGATGTACTTGAAAGGAATGCCACTAACTTTTATCAGAGACCTCTGAATTTTCCCACTGAAACCAGGTATTTCTGATGATGGTGATACAATTATGAGTGTTTTGAGTGGGAAAAATGAGGACTAAATCAGCAAGAGCTTGCTGCAAAGTAGATATGAAGTCTGCCTGCTCTGTGAACAACTTTATATCTTTTATATGAACAGTTAAGGATTAGAGTGCATATTGAAAATGTATGCATATTGTATGTTTCAATTTACACGTGGTAACAGCATTTGATGACAATGTGTTCTACTGTGAGATAGGTACTTTTTCATAATTACACATAGCCTTTCAACAGAGATAACCAACATTTTGTTAGTAATGTTTGAATACTTGTTAAGGCCAGGTGGATACCACAAATCAGAGGGGAAGAAACAAATTTATCATGCTTTGAATTCAATAGACATACTAAGGTCAGAAAATGGTAGTAAGTTAACATAACCAAAGCTATTTGGGAACCAATCCAAGTCAGTTAGTTGGAAGGAATCCCAGAAATAATGGTATCTAGCTATAACCAACATGAAAAAAGTACTCTTTTGTTTCTTCATTTGGAAGGGGAGTAATCAATAAATAAATAATCAGTAAATAAGAAAGCCGTCTGCAATCTAGTAGGAAATATTGCTGGAAACCATAAAGAATCATAGAATCACAGAATGGTTGAGGTTGGAAGGGACC